TGTGTGTGTGTGTGTGTGTGTGTGTGTGTGTGTGTGTGTGTGTGTGTTGATATGTACAGTTTTATGTGGCTAACCTTCCCTAACTTTGCTCATCTCTGCATAGGTGAGTTCTCTATGTGCCGTGTTAACAATGGAGGGTGTCAGGATCTGTGTTTGCTGACCTCTGAGGGGAGGGTCAACTGCAGCTGCCGTGGCGACAGGAAGCTTTTGGAAGACAACACCTGCATAGGTAACACAAGACAGGGAGTGAAAAGGGGTTATAAAAAAGTTATCTTATGCACGCTATTTAAAAAGATATTTTTATCAAAAGACTGAGATCAGGCTTTGAATGGATTTGAATGAAACTTAAGATTTTGCAAGCTGCATGCCTCGGGGTAGACAACACTTCCTAAGTGCATTTTTCTGTCTTTGTCTCACAGCCCTCAACGCTACATGTAACAACATTGATGAGTTTGAGTGTGGAAATGGAGATTGTGTTAACTACACTCTGACTTGTGATGGCATGGCCCACTGCAAGGACAAGTCCGATGAGAAACAGTCCTACTGTGGTAAGTTGAACCTTTGGCTCAGTAAAAACAGTTTCAACCGTGTTCTTGTTGTCGACTCAAACCACAAGTCTGTATCATTTCCTGTCCGGTCCTCAGCCAACCGCGTGTGCAAGAAGGGTTATAGACGGTGCGTAAACAGCCGCTGTGTGGGGCATAGCTCTTGGTGCAACGGGCAGGACGACTGTGGTGACAATTCTGATGAAGTTTTCTGTAACAGTGAGTCAAGTCTTCCGATTAAACAAGTTCTTCTCTCCTGCAGTCATATGACATTTACAAATTAAACTCCACCAAAACACCGCCTCTTGTTTTTGTGTTCATCAGCTACACTGTGCACAGCCGATCAGTTCCAGTGCAGAGATGGAGGCTGCATCTCCAACTCCAGCAAGTGTAACCAGAAAGTGGACTGTGAGGATGCCAGTGACGAGATGAGCTGCAGTAAGTAAAATGATCCGATTCATTCAGAATGACTAGATGTTATAGAAAAATGGCACGACTGTCTCACAGGCTACGGTATAAAATAGTGCTGCTCTCCTCTTTTAAGCTGCCACGGACTGTTCCAGTTACTTCCACCTGGGAGTGAAAGGAGTGACATTTCAGAAGTGCGAGTTCACTACACTCTGCTATGCCCCTTCATGGCTGTGTGATGGAGCTAATGACTGTGGAGACTTCTCAGATGAAAGAAATTGCCCAGGTATTTTATACTCGCATTTTCTCACAGCATGCAGAGGAAAATGTGAAAGAAATTTGTTGACAGAGAGATTAGAGCCACAAGTCCAAATGGGATTATTCCAAATGGAACAAAAACAATGAATGCTTTCATCCATTAAATTGTGATTTGGGAGGAAATTCTCCCTAAAAATTATTGCAGTGTAAATTCAATTGTCTATTTCTCTCTTCATACTAACTTAATTCTTTTATGTTTTCTCCATTGACTTGCCACTTTTCTGTCGCTTTGCCAGGGAGCGGGAAAACAAAGTGTCCAACGCCCTTCTTTGCCTGTCCAAG